GAGGGGGAGGGGGAGGGGGGAAAAACCCGACGGGAATTAACCTCAAAACGAAGCGGCACGGTGGCCAATATAACACCACGATCATCTCAGGGGACGCGACGACGGAAAGCCTACGGTGTCGCACGTCGGATTTCTTGTCGTCGGTTGACCCGTTCTCTCGGATCCTCTGTTGCTCTCTTTTTCACCGATCCGGCTATCCCGCTCTCTCCCGTTGTCCTGTCCTACGCCTCCTTCATAGGCTCTACCCGATGGGAACCGGTATGACCGGAACGAACAGGCGGAATTCTTTCTACGACTGTCAAAACAAGTCTGTCCGCTCTTAATCGATCATACGTAACCTTTACAACACCACCACCCTCTGTTCGCAAAAAGTTCTCAAACGCACGCGATGCGGTTCTAAGGTATTTGAAAATTGTTAGTCGAGGTCCCCTCTCGATAAGGGGATTCCAGCCCTTCATACACGTATTTTCAACGAGACGAGAGAACGTTTTGTACCTTAACAATTTCAATGTTTTTAACCTCTTGCGTTGGCAACTGGTTGGCGGACCATAACGAGTGACCAAACCGTGTACAATAATTCGTCGCTTTCTTTTTCAAATTTGTTATTTGCTTTGCCTGGGTTGTATTTAAATATATTTAAAACTGAGGAAATGTTGCAATTTTTGTTGCAAAAGTTTGAAACTCATGAGGTTAAATAGGCTCGAGTGTAGTTCGGTCATACGTTGAAACTTTTCGCCAAGATGTTGGTGTAATTATGTATCTGCACCTCGTCCGAATGGTAATGTCAATTTTGACTCGTATCGTGTCGGTAACGCGGAAAGTTGCACACCAGACATTTCGTAACGCGGTCAAGTATTTCTAATTCCAGACCGCGGATATTTCTGCATTGTTGTAAGAACGTTTGACGCAGAAACAGGCAGCAAAATCTCGTTGAATTTAGAATAGATTTTGAATAACCTAAATGGAGCAAAGTTGGTGCTCGAACACAACCGTCTCCGTAAACATCGACAGATGTCAGAGGGTCATGGAACACCGTGCAAGAATGTAAATAATCGCTGTAATTATCACATTCCAACGATACAACAGAAGCTCGTTACGTCGAATAACGTCGCAAGAGTAACAGGTTATTCGAAACAGAAGACGAGCGCGGGCTTTTCTGACGTAGACACGTGACAAGCCGCCATTTTTGTCACTTTTTACGTTGCAAATTCGCGAACGATGGTGAAACCGAAGACTCGAGACGGAACCGTCAGTCTTCAATGGAATAATGGAATAAACGTCAGACTTACCGAACGTGTCCTCGAGACGGCCGCGTGGCAGCAAAAAAAGCAAACACAAAGCGAAGATACACCGCAAGTTCGTAATAGTTTCCCGCGTGCTAGGCTGAACCGGTCGTTGCGTAACGCGACAACTTGTTCGCACAAACGCGTGGAGAACACTTGATTTATCTAGGTGGCACGCGAGGTGGTAACACCGATACGCTGGCACACAGTGTCACGCGATACGAGAGGAGACAATCCATTTGTTTTGATAAGGGACACGAAACGAGGAGAGGCTCGCACAAAGGTCAGAGAAGAAGAGCGCAACAAGCACCGTTCGCTACGGCGGCTGGAGCGCGACTGACTGGCTGGTGCCGGTGCCGGCTAGCTTCACCGCTACGCACACGCTTCGGCCTCGAGTTTCGAATTACGCGCGGCTTAACCACTCTGCAATCCTGTGCCCGTCAACCTCGGGACGAACACGCCGATATTACGCGGTCATTTTCGAGCGGTCGTATTCACGCACCAAATACCGTGGTCGTAGCTACTACGTAAATAGTAACTGTAGATTATTCTCGTCTTGTTAGACACGCCCGTATTCGTAGATAATAGAACATACCTTGACTTTATAAGACCACCTGCTGAAACTGAAATCCTCTGAAAACACTGCATGTAAGAGTGGAGTTGCAATTTTACAATTAAATTTTTTAATGTAATTTCGAAGATTTTTCGAAGTCGTCATACCGTACTATAATATATACAATGTTTTAATTAAAATCTTTAATCGTTGAATAGTGCATTTTCTATTTTAGAACATTGCCCAGTTAGCCGTGACGTTCAAAATTTTTTAGTCGACGATATTCATTTTACTTTACTTACACTGATGTCCAACATGGTCCCAATCTCTGAACAGAAATTTGACCAACGTGGCAGTGTCAAAGTGTTAAAGGATTTCTGTCGTTGACATTCAAACGCTTTCTCGTGCCTTTCTTTCTCACCGAAGCGAGAGCGACGGCATATTTACGATCTAGTTATTTCTCTCTATTTATCGTGGGATCGTCGTTGACTTTACCCGGTGATTAATCGCGCCGTTTGCAAATATAAACGGGAAATAATCGTGATCCGCTTGCCGAGTATATTAAACGTTTCAATTGCTTTGGTATACATTGTTAAATTGCGATACGGCTGGCGATAGTAATTTACGTTGATAGTCCAGAGATCGATCGCGCTGACAACGATGCGATGGCAGAGGATGAAGACCGTTCCTCTAGCGAGTAAGACTAACCCGTGATAAATTCCATTACGTAGAAAGGTCTATTGTTTCCGTGTTAACTGTGCACGCGTTGCGGAACAAAGCGACAAAGGGATTAACAAAACACAGGGCACGACAGTGAGCAACATAAACAAATGATCCCCATCAACCCGGTGGCAAGGAAATAAAGCAACTAGCGACGTTCCCAAATAGGGCCCCCGAGCGTGAAAATCAGAACTTTCAGCCGCCTCGGTTGAGCTGATATGTTAATTTATTATGGGTACCGTGCCTGGAACGAAATTGCTGAAAATAATAAAGACTGAATTTAATATTGGGGCAAGGGTATTCATCGAGATCTGCGAGACTCGAGATCTGATCGAAGAAAAAAAAAAGTACTTTTTATTACGAAATCCAATCCAAGGAAGCGTTGATAACGTCTGCATTAATAACGCGTCGTATATTACTTAACATAAAAATTGTCGCGTTGAGAGTGTATGACTGCGTGTTTATTTTTCGTGTTAGATTCGTTCGGTCTCAGTCGATAGAAAAATATCCGTGTGTGACGACAGTGGCGAACGCTTACGGATATATAATAAAGCCCAGGGCAACAACACGGCTTACACTTTATTCCCATGATTAGGTAAAACAAGCGGGAAATTGGCCAGGCACCCGATGACGATGATTCTCGATTTACTTTGAATGACAAGGCGTCGTAGAATCCAGCAAGGGGACGAAGAAAAACACGTCAACGTCAAACGTCACTTTCTCCATTCTCTTCCTTCCTTCCTTCCTGCCTATCTCTATCCCTTTTCGCTTCGGTTTCGCTTGCGTTTCTCCGAGACACGGCGTGACGCTGACGTGACGCGTGTGCAGGACGAAAACAATGGTTGATACGATGACGATGATGATGTGACGGTGATGACGACGATGACAAGCAACGCGTGTTAGCATCACGTCGAGTGTGACACAGCCCGACGTACATATATCCGCGTGTCCGTACTCTGTGCTTGTTCGTGTACGTTTTATGCAAATTCTGACGATGCGACGAGTGGAAATCATACAGCGAGGTGACCCTTTGTCCGTTCCAACTTCGACGAAGTTACGATGCCGGTGCTGCAAACAAAATAAGAACAAAGATCACTTTAGGAAAAAAAGAAAAAAAAAAAGAAAAAAAAGAAGGAAAGAAAACGGCACGTCTTCCTACGTTAGTTTCTTCCCACGCGAGCGTGAGAGAAGATTATTTTAGTCTTTTTAGGTAATTCAGTTATTTCTCGTAGAAGCAGTTTATTCGTTTCTTGCTCGTTCGTTTTCATTGTCGTCCAAGAGCCGAGGATTCGTAGCAGTTCTATCCTCTATTATTATTTTTATCACAAGCAACTGTGATGCTGTGATGAATCGATCACTGTTGTGTTTCATCAGTTTCCGTTGAGCGAAAGTTATGGAACGCTCGAGCGAACAGAGAGTACATAATTAAGCGGTGGAAGTTAATGCTTTCCAACGGACTGCACTGGTCGTGAAACGTACGATAAAGACAAGGTGGACGCTTGCGGTCGTTAGAAAGGTAACGAGTGTCGGTTTTAGTTCTCGTCGATGAATGTCGCCGTGTGAGCAACACGGGTGGTGTACACTTCTGACGATGAACGATCGATGATATTATTAGTCTATCTCTTTAAAAGTTACTCGTAACTGATGACTAGATTTTTAGTCCTCTACTAGAGCGTCAAATTACTACCACTAGGGCTTAACATACCGTACGTGATGAACTTCGAACCAGTTATCGGCGGACAGAGCCTGACGTTCAGTGTAACTTTCAAAAGTAAAATTACCTTAGAAGCTAGAAAATTAAGTTGAAAAAGAGCAACGTTAAAAAAAAGTCAACGATGAATGAAGAAGGGGAGAAGGAGAGGGGAGGAGGGAGATAATGGAGAAAGAAAGAAGAAGAATAATGAACGATCGAAACGAGCACGTTGCCTTTCCATTTCTTTAAAAAGAAAAAAAAAGGTACATTCTCATCGCGCGCGGGTGCGAGAGAGAGAGAGAGAGAGAGAGAGAGAAAGAGCAAAGATTAATTAAAAAATGGAAAGCGGAAGTAGCCCAGTTTCTTTATGACAAATGGCGAGAACAGAATGATTAATCCTGCAATGAACAATAGGTAATCGTATCAGTCGGAGGAATGAACGAAGTAAATTACCTTCAGCGGGCGCTGGTGCTGGCGCAGCCTCTGCCGGGGGTGCTGCTGCAGCCTCCGCCGGGGCTGCTTCTGCAGGTGCAGCACCTTCGGCTGGTGGTGGTGGTGGTGGTGCTGCTTCTGGAGCTGCTGGAGTTCCTTCCGCTGGTGCAGGTGCACCTGTAAAAATTCGTGCCTCACTCTCAAGTTCTCAAGTCGTAAACGCTCCGGGTGTTATTATTATTTCTGTCTACTAGCTGTCTATGTATCTCGCTGGAAGATGGAAGCGCGTCGAAAGTGAAAATTAGTTGCAGATAAGAAAAGAAACAAACGCGGCAAGATCACCTTCTGCCGGTGGTGCTGGAGCTGCGCCTTCAGCTGGTGGAGCTGCGCCTTCAGCTGGTGGCGGTGCTCCTTCGGCTGATGGTGCACCCTCGGCAGGAGGTGCACCTTCGGCTGGTGGTGCACCCTCGGCTGGTGGTGGAGGTGCACCCTCGGCAGGAGGTGCACCCTCGGCAGGAGGTGCGGCCGGCGCGCCTTCCGCTGGTGGTGGAGCTGTTCCTTCCGCGGGAGCAGCTGCTGGTGCTTCACCCTCCGCTGGTGGTGCCGCGCCTTCTGCAGGTGCACCTTCTGAACAGGTACACGCATTTCACTTTAGCAACAGTAGTACTATACAACTATAATCAAGTAAGATTAAAATAACAATGTGCGTC